GTTTCTCCACATCGACCCGCACGATCTCCGCAGACGGTTGCGCGGGGATGTGAAAAGTAGCACTTCTATCGGGTTCTTGCACATCGACAGCGCGCCCGAAAGATTAGCATGTCCATGGAGTTTTTGCACATCGACCCACACGATCTCCGCAGAGGGTTGACCGCGCACCCGAGAAAGTAGCAGTTCCAGTGAGTCTTTGCACATCGACACGCACGATCTCCCCAGAGGGTTGAACGCGCGCAGCAAAAATATTATTTCCATTGAGTTTCTGCACATCGACCCGCACGATCTCCGCAGAGGGTTGCGCGGGGATGTGAAAGTAGCACTTCTATTGGGTTCTTGCACATCGACAGCGCGCCCGAAAGATTAGCATGTCCATGGAGTTTTTGCACATCGACCCACACGATCTCCGCAGAGGGTTGACCGCGCACCCGAGAAAGTAGCAGTTCCAGTGAGTCTTTGCACATCGACACGCACGATCTCCCCAGAGGGTTGAACGCGCGCAGCAAAAATATTATTTCCATTGAGTTTCTGCACATCGACCCGCACGATCTCCGCAGAGGGTTGCGCGGGGATGCTGAAAAGTAGCATTTCCCTGGAGTTTTTTGCACATCGACGTGCACCCAAAGACTTGCGCCAGAAGACTCGGCATGTGCAACTTCAACTAAAATTAGTGTCTTAAGGCGGCGCGGCGGGACCGACCACGGTCTGCGAAACTGCGACCTTCTCGCAGATTCTGCGCGTCTTCGGGTGCAATCGCAAGTGCAATCACTCCGAGCAATCTCTCCGTGACATCTCTCAGTGCAGTCTCACGTGCAAACACTTCGAGCAATCTCTCCGTGACATTTTTTTCGGCGCAAGCTCTCTGAGCAATGTCTCTGCGACATCTCTCGGCGCAAGCTCTCAGAGCAATCTCTCCGTGACATCTGTCGGTGCAACCTCTCTGAGCAATCTCTCCGTGACATCTCTTGGTGCAATCTCTCAGACCATGACTCTGCGCAATCTCTCAGGCGATCTCTTCCTGACATGACTTCTGTGCAATCTCTCAGGCGATCTCTTGGTGTCATGACTCTGTGCAATCTCGCAGGCGATCTCTTGGTGACATGACTCTGCGCAATCTCTCAGACGATCTCTTGGTGACATGGCTCTGCGCAATCTCTCAGGCGATCTCTTGGTGACATGACTCTTTGCAATCTCTCAGGTGATCTCTTGGTGACATGTCTCTGTGCAATATCTAAGTAATCTCTTTGTGACATGACTCTTTGCAGTCTGTCACCCGATTTTAACGAAAACCCTTTCGCTATGCTTTCGGGAAAACACAAGTTTCACTTCGATTTCTGCTCACGCAGCCCCAGGAATGCGTGGAACAGTGCCTTCGACAGCACTAGAATTGCACGATTCCTGCCGGAACCGCCTACTCGCGCACGTAGAACAACTCCTTCAAAAGCCTTAGGATTGCGTGGAACAAAGCCGGAACCGCCTGGCTCGGCTCGGCTTGCTTTTTACGGCGCCTTGGGGCTGTGCTTGTGGCTGAGAACGTCTGCACTTCGCTTGAAAATTCCTTTTTGGGAACTTTTGAAGGGATTCAATGCCTTTCGAGGTGCTGTGGGGGCTTCGTTTGGGTTGCATGTTGCGCTCGGGGTGTTGTTTTGCGGTGCTGATAGGCGCGCAAAAACACGTGTTTTCCAGGTGTAGTGTGAGCCCAAGTGCGTCCTTTGGCGTTCCCTGGCTACATGGGTAACATTAAGGGTGACTACTGCTTGGAACATTTGGGTTACATGCCAACCACAAGTTTGTCACCTGATTTAGTGATTGTGAAAGCAGAGCTGAAGTGCTCTTTGGGTGCCGCATAGTGGATTGTCTCGACATGTGAGAGTACTGCCGTGCCCTTGCAGCTCGTGCCGTCATCGTTTTTTGTGACGAGTTTTTTCCGCCCCGGGAAATTGGACGGCTGAATTTAGCCGTCCTTTTCTGCCGCTGCTCGGCGCCGGTCGCTGCCTTATCGCTTGGCTCTCAGTTTCGCTCTGGTGCAGCGCCCTGGTCAGTCTGGCGCAAAACATAGTATTTTTCCGTGCCTTTCTGGCGTCTACGAGGCAGCGCGGGCTGTTGGTTTTGGCTGGTGTCTTTGCGTCGCAGCAGCATCTTGGCTCGGCTAGGCACGCTTTTTCCGGCGCCTTGGGGCGAAATTTTCACTCTGGCTGCGGTCTATGCTTTGCGATAAAAAAACGGCAAACAAATAGCTCTCTTTTTGTAGTGCCCTTTGGGGATTCAATGCCTTTCAAAGTGTTTTTGGGGCTGCATTTGGCCTGTGTGTTGCGCTCGTGCCACGTGGCATGAGCCCACGTGCTTCATTTGGCGTTCCCTGGTGCTTGGACCCCATGTGGGTCGTCTTTTTGGTCCACAATACAACGCACACACGCCAATGCTAAAGCAGCAAGCGCTTTCCGATCCTTGCCGACCTGGTTTGCAGATGTTTTGGCCGTTCGAAATAGTGCCCATTTTTGGCCGCTGTTTGTTTGGCAGCTCCGCGCGTATTCCGCGTAATATTCCGGGTCATTTTGGCACGTTGGCGCGCGTCCATTTGGCCGGTTGGTGGCTGCCCAAAAAGGCACCAAAAAAACATAAATCGCTGCTGTTTTACGCTGCTTGGCTCCTTCTCCGAGAGCGGCCATATTTGGCCGCTGTTTTGGGCTAGGTGGAGCGGATTTAAGTGATGGCAGGGGACGACACGGGGTGCATACCGCCGCTGGTTTTGGTTGTTGTCTTTTGTTGTTGTTCATTTATGATTTCAGTTCTTAGGGTTTTGCAATTGTGGCTTTGCTCTTGCGGGGCCCCGAGTTAAATTTGTGGCACAGAAGTAAATACACCAGCATAGATTCCAGCTAGCGAGAATTGCATTTCAGTGTCAAAAAGTAGGCGCTTGTGAGTGCCAATGCGAACACAAGGCGCAAAAGAAACCGTTGCCGCGTATCTCTTTTGTTGCGCAACCACCCTGCCCTGCAGCACCCTCCTCAAGCAACCTACGCAAGCAGCACGGTTGAAACAGCACCCAGCCCAGCCCTGCGTCACACTCTTCAGCAGCACCCTGCAACAGCACCCTGCAACAGCACTCTGCCCCCCTGCGTCCCAATCTCTAGCAGCGCCCTGCATCGGCCCCCTGCAGCAGCATTTTGCAACAGCACCCTGCAGCAGCACCCAGCCCAGCCCTGCGTCCCAATCTCCAGCAGCACCGCAACAGCACCCTGCAACAGCACCCTGCAATAGCACCCTGCAACTGCATCCTGCCCAGCTCTGCTTCCCAATCTCCAGCTGCACCCAGCCCAGCCCAGCGTCCCAATCTCCAGCAGCACCGCAACAGTACCCTGCAACAGCACCCTGCAACAGCACCCTGCAACCGCATCCTGCCCAGCCCTGCGACACATTCTCCAGCAGCACCCTGCAACAGCACCTTGCAACAGCACCCTGTACCCTGCCCAGCCCTGCATCCCAGTCTCCAGCAGCACTCTGCAACAGCACCGCACAACAGCACCATGCAACAGAACCCCGCAACATCACCCTACAACAGCACCCTGCAACAGCACCCCGCAACGGCACCCTGCAACAGCCCCATCTCCAGCAGCACCCCGCAACAGCACCCAGCACAACAGCACCCTGCACAACAGCACCCTGCCCAGCCCTGAAACCCTATCTCCAGCAGCACCCGGCAACAGCACCTTGCAACAGCACCCTGCAAAGCCCCGCGTCCCAATCTCCAGCAACATCCCGCAACGGCACCCGTCAACTGCACCCTGAAACAGCACCCTGCAACAGCGCCCTACAACAGCTTCCTGCAACAGCATCCTGCAGCGGCACCATGCAATAGCACCCAGCCCAGCCCTGCGCCCCAATCTCGAGCAGCACCTCGCAACAGCACCCTGCAGCAGCACCCAGCCCAGCCCTGCGACCCAACAGCATCCTTCAACAGCACCCTGCAACCGCACCCTGCAACAACAGCTCCCTGCAAGAACACCCTGCAACAGCATGCTGCAACAGCACCCAGCACAGCCCTTCGGCACACTCTCCGTCGGCACCCTTCAACAGCACCCTGAAACAGCACCCTGCCGGATTTTTGTGGCCCCCCCCTTCTGTACTTGCAGTGTGAAGCCCTATAGCTAAAGCTATCTGGGGAAAATGACCCTTTGCTGAACCAATATCTGCCAGTTGCTTTGCGGTGTTTGCCGAACTGGTTTGCAGCCACGGAAACGTGCAACAATAGCGATGGTCGCAGTTGTTTGTTTTTGGTGAGCACGAACAACAGCGGCCAATCAACGGGGAGGCTGATTTGTTTTTAAGCCACTTGCTGATTCCTTGTCCCATGTTATTTTGGCGAACAAAGCAGTAGAAGAGGAACAGTGGAAAGTGTTTGCCGTGCCCGGCTGCATGCTTGACTCGCACCTGCAGCATTCAATTTTGCATCATGAACCGTGTTGTGTCTTCGTTTTACAGGTCGTTTACAGGTCATGCGACTTGGGCTTCGTTAGTATTTGCGAAGCCGGCGCCGGTCATAGTTATGTTGTTTGCGCCACAGTCTAAATAAGCGTCAACCACACTATATAGATGGGAGAATAGGAAGTAGGACGTGAATAGTAAACAGCTGGTAAAACGGTAGAGCCCAGCATTAATAACAATAACTGGATATTGCTGGCAAACGATAGGGCCCCAGCCCAAAACGACAACTGGATGTATATTTGGCAAACGACCCAAAAGCGAGAAGCAATTAAAACTCCTCTACATCAACAACTGATTTTGACGGCAGCTTACCATGCTGGATGCAGTCACCGGTATTTGTTCAATTTCAACTTGTGGATGCATGCTCGAACCCCATGCCAGAATGACGAGGTCAAGACTCGAGGCGACTCGATTTCATCATCCTTGAAGCAATCCATGCAATAGAACCGAGTTTGCATGTTTGGCAATTCAGTGAGAACCAGCTTGACTTGATTCTGACCGTGCTGTGACAGGTGTTCACTCTGAACACGACGCTTCATCGTCAGCGGCAACATGTGGCAATGGACATTCGCAAGATGGAGGAAGAGTCAATTTGTTGCCGAATGTTCCTGGTGAAGTGCACTTTGCAAAAAGGTGTACCCTTTCTCTGGAGGGACCATGCCAGGTGCACGGATGGTGCTTGGAAGTACGTGCATTGCCTAACAAACCAAGAACATGACAAGCTGAGAAAGGAATTAGGTTCTGCCCTGAACCTTGATGTCATTCTGGGATGCAAGACTCCGTGGTATTTCGTCGCAGATCATGTGGCAGTGTCTTCCAATCCTCCTTTCACAGCTCCATGGAGCTTGCCCATTTTGTCCTGCGGCTTTCTGACGAAGGGCCAAAATCACAAGACTTGGAGGTTGCAAAACGTCCAGGACAGGATCCTGGCTTGGCTTCGCAGAGGCGTGGATGACTGGGAGTCGCTGGAGGAGGCACTTAAGGGCCAGGACTGGGCCGACCTCAAGGACTACTACATGGAAATCGGTGCGCTGGAGACTGAGAAGCCGGAGCGGCAACTTGGCCACATGAGCTTCATACAATCTGGACAGGAAGACTCTTCCTTAGAGACGCTCCTGGACCTTCTGGTGCGCCGGAACTTCCGGAAGTGCGTGCAAGGGCTCCTGCAGAGCTACACAGCCGAGAGATACACAGACGAGAGCCGTTGGATGGTTTTGGCCGATGTGGGCCATCAGGATGGTCTGGGCAACACCGCATTGCACAAGGCGTGCAAGGAAGGCCACCTGGAGGTTTTGAATGATTTGCTGGACTACGTGGAGAGGAAAGGCGACATGGATTTGTTAGATGGCCTTTGCAACAAGGACCACGAGACCTGCTTGGATTTGGCCAAAGAGAAGCCTGAGGTCTACAGGGCTGTTGTGCAGAGTCTGAGGAATCTTGGAAAGCCAGGAACATTGACCCTTTTTTTCAGCATGGAGGAAAGGTGGCTGGACCAGCCCCCAGTCATGCAAATCCAGCTGGCCTCGCAGGATTCACAGCTCGATGCCTTGCGGGATTTTTTGAGCTGCCATGGGCAAGGCCTGGTGCAGGATGGCATCAGCAAGCTGATGGTAAGAGAGCTGCACCTGAAAGAAGTTCCCAAAGATCGACTCTGTCGGACCTTCAGAGAGTTGAAACACTTTAGGTCCGTAGTCTTAACAGGCAAAACTGTGGGGAAGCTGTATCAGGTGCTGCTGGAAGTTGCCGCTGAAGCTGAGGAGGATTCCATCCTTGAAGAGCTAGTTCTCGACCTGGTGCCGTCAGATTTGGCTGCCAACGACCTGCAGCAAGCGGCCGAGGCGGTTGCGCAAGGGATGCTGCGGCAGCTCGGTCGAAAGCCGTGGAAGGTTCAGTTGAGCCAGCGAGCCTTGGATGGTCTGGACCAACTCCGGGTAGAGAGGCTCAGTTGGATCACGGCAGCGGCGGAGTTTCTGACTGTGGATGGTTGGTCCTACTTTACCTCCCCCCAAGCCAGGCGGACGAGGGCTACACAACCCTTCCACGCCAATCCATTCAAGGAGGGGCTTTTTGCTGCCTGCGACTGGGCCTTTGGGCAAAACATGCATCGACTGCGTGGTCACCAAGACATTGCCAAGGCCTTGGATTGGAGCATTTTTTTCGGGTATGTCAAAGAGCTTCTAGGGACTTGGAACCAGATCCTTTGCAAGCTTGACACGAATCTGGATCCCAAGAATCCAAAGCTGGAGGCGATAATATCGGAGCTTGACCACGCCAGCGCGGCCATGCTCTACATGCTGAACCACCTTGCCCCTCACCTGGAGCCACAGAACAGGGATCGCCTGTACGAAGCAATTGAGACGTACTTGCAACGCGCTCGGGAGTTCAAGAAAGCTGGTCCCCTCCCTGAGGCACAATTTCAAGCTCCTTGCGTTTTGCTTGAGTGCACTCGCAACTATCTTCTGCTACGGAAGACAGACATGGCTCAGGAGGCAAACTGTGAGCGTTTGCGGGAGCAGAGCTGGACGAAAGGTGCCTTGGTCTTGCTGTCCGATGATCGGCTCTCCCCTGACCGTAAGTTCCTTGTGAAGAAGCTGCTTGAGCGCAAGCTAGACGATGGGCCAGGACAGTGGTCCCCAAAGTCAGCATAATCTGTGGGCAGAGAACAAAGCTAATGATCTACTTGCGCATGCCAGGTTTGTGCATTAGCCATGTTCTAAGGATGTCACAGCCACAACATCCACAGAATCCAATCAGTTCAGGTGTTGCGGGATGCCGGGATGTTGTGCACCGTGGGCTGTCCATCCATCCGGTTTATGGTTCTGGTTGCCATGTCGTGGGCCAATGATTTTGTACAAATATGTTTTCCCTGCGGCCCATGATTGGCGGTGTCAAAGGGCTCAAAGTTAGCTGGGGTTGCTCTCCAGTGCCACTGGGAGCTCGGACTCCCTATGAGGCCAGCTGCAGTCAGCGGTCCTGGTGGAGCGGTGCCGAAGCCAAAAGTTGCGGGAGGACCTGAAGAAGGCCTTGGCCCACAAGCGCCGGGAGAAGTTCGAAGAAGGGAAGAACCGGGCTGAGCGAAAGACCCGCGCGGACCTGAAGGAGGGCGAGGAGCAGGCCGAAAGTCGGGGAGTTTTGCTTGTACCATTTTGATCCATTTTGGCAAAGATGAAATCCCCACAAGCTTGCCGGGTATAAGTTGCCAGTCATTTTCCAAGGTGAACTTCGATGAGAATGCCCGGCTGACGATTGTATCTTCGGCTCAACCGGCGCTGGGTGACCGCGATTGTTGCAAGGAAGGGGCAAACTGCCGCTTCAGCGATTGCCCTTATGTGCATCATGGTCTAAGAGTTGCATGTAGCCGCGGTCTTAGCTGCCCGAACGCCAGCTGCGACTTCTTACACCCGCGTGGATGGCAGCCTCAAGCTGGAGCCGCCGAGGCTGGTGTGGAAAGCCGGCAGCGGGGCCCATCGCTGTTTGAATATCCAATGCGCAACCAAATCCATCAGACCATGTGTATTTACTATCGTCATCCAGTCTCGACCCGTATCCAAATACGGCAAGCCCATGTCAATCACACCCAAAGTATCGAGTCTCCTCATGTCTTCTCCGAAAACCGCCCCTGACATGTTTCTTTTGCCAAATCATCAGAGTTCACCTTTAGGCGTCCCCACGCTGTGAAGTCCAAAGTACCACTGAGTTGCAACCCGCATTGCCACCATACATGCATTTGGTGGCATGGCCAACGGAGGGGTCTAGTAGACCTCATATGTGAATCAAGAGGCATTGTTCGTTTGAGGAGGCCCTCTTGTGCAAGCGTTTCCATAAGGGCACCTGCAGCAGGATGACGTCGCTCCCGGTATGAAAGACTTGTGTTGGGCAAGGCAATTTTTGGCAGCCCGTAATTGAAACACAAAAGCCTAGACGACGAGTGACCCCGAAGCACATTTCACAGAGGTTGTTAACACAGCGAAGCCGCAGCGACACAAGACTTCCGTAGCACGAAGCCTCCGTTTTGTGCCCAATTTTATGTACCCCAAAATGGTCCCAAAATGGAGCCTTGCATAGCACTGTGCACACTTGAACAGTGTGCAGTGGGCAAGTGTTATTAAGGCAGTGTTAGTTTGGCAATGTGCAGTTCACAAGTTTTGTTGAGACACATGCGCACACACACACACACAAAGTGACAAATGTACAGTTGAACCGTGTACAGCGGGCAGGTGCTACAGTTGAACAGGGTACAGCGGGCAAGTGTTATTGAGGCAGTGCTACTCTGGCAGTGGACAGTTGACAAGCATGACTGAGGCTTTGACAGAGTGGCGGTGCGCAGATGAACAAGGCACAGTGGGCAAGTGCCATTGAGGCAGTGTTACTGTGGCAGTCTACAGTTGCATAGCACGGAGGCCCTGTTTTGTGCCCAACATCGGGCCCGGCCCCGGCTATGTAGTAGCCGCCCTTAGTACGCAGGACAACAGCACCTGTTTGTCTCCCGCGAAATGTTGGCACAACCTTGGGCTTCTTGCACTGGCAGCGGGAGGGGGGGATCTTACAAACTCACTGCCCAGGCGCTGCCTAGTTTCTATCCTTTTCTCGCCCTTTCCTGTTTGCGTCCCCCCTTTCAGAATCTGGCAGGCACCAGTGGCCTGAGGTGACCATGCCCCTGGCACCGCCGCCAACATCTCTAACACCTTCACCCCCTCTAACAACGGATGAACGAAACGGACAAACGCTTCTGGGTCTGCTAGAAGGCGGGCGGTTTTCCGGATCAGCGCCTTGGCTGCGCGGAACGCCTTGCTGGACCAACGCTGGGCACTTTCCTTTTCTCGTGCTCTTCTTTGTGAATGCCACAAGGGGCTCCAGCTTCCCCCAAGGGCACTTTCAGACAAGCATAGAATGGGTTATAGGCAGCGCAAATCACTGTGGGAGGGTCAAGCCGTCTGGGGACAACATGAAACGGTCACGGGGACGAATGTGAAATCAACAGCGGCGTCAATGCCACATTAGTTGATCGACGACCCTCAAATGTATGTGCGCAAGGATGATCGGCCCCAGCTTTCTGGGAAGGAAGAGCTTGGGCGGAATGCAGACGTCCGGTTGGTCAGCGCAAAGCCGCAATCACCCGGTCGCACCTTGATGCGCCAAATCCTGTATCGGTGCTGAAAGCTAGCGTCGAAAAGAGCTGACCTGGGCCGGGGTGGCGGGCCAGCATTTGGATCGCTCAAGCGGGGCCAAAAGCAAGAAAGGTGGCCTCGAGACAAAGCACAAAGCGTGACATGACTAATTCAGCACACGCGCGGCAAACCAACCGCTGTCTCACGCATCGCCCGGACGAAGTCCATGGTGAAGACAGCGGCCGCCCGCCCAAAAAAATGGCAAGCGTGCGGGTCTCGCAAGGCTGGGCTTGCTGAGTGGCACGGCAACTTACAATCCAGTCCTTGGCCCATGTTAGGGCTTCGATCCCAGTGACGCGGCCTGCCCGCTAACAAGGAGGAACACAGTCAGCCAAGCGCAGCTTGAAAGGAAACCGCAAGTGCCAAGAATGGCCCAAGCGGCCGATTCTGCGCTCTCGGCGGCTCCAAGGCTGACAGGGCGTGCCTGTGACATTGCCGAGCGCTTGTGGTGGGCGACGCCTCTGCTCGTGAAGCCATTGCTGTGGTGTTGCGGGGCTGTGAGGCCTGGCGGCTTGGGGCGAGCTCGAGAAGGTCGGAGTAGATGCGTTTCTCAGGATTTGTGCTCTGGCTTTTGCATTGCAAAATTTGCTCGAAGCGCGCACCAAGAGGAGCTGCCAAGGCCACACCTCAGCGCCCGCGCTGGCCCAAAAATGATCGCATCCACCCGTGCCGCTGCAGTGCACACGCGCGGCCATTGATCCACGCAGGGTGGGCCCGACAATGGGCGCCAAAGCCTCCAATAGGCAGTGGGCTCAGCGAAATGTTCTGGGCCGTCGTGGCAAAAAGGCTGCGCCAGCAGAGACGGCTGGCACATTGCCGCTTCCTCCGCAAGCAGCACGCCGTCATCACTGCCTCTGCTCGACGCGGCTAACATTGCCTGGACAAAGGCGGAAAGGTCATCGCCATTACCATCTCCGGTCGCTGGGGGCAGCCAGCCCCTCCGAAACAAAGAGCCCTCTCTCTGAAGATGAGCTCTCCATCATGGCTGCTGCGCCTGCTGGTTCTACTGACTTGGAGGGTTGGGCCGGCTGAACAAATTACCTGCGGGGTTACTTCGTGAGCTCTACAGTCCGGCAGCGCTTTCTGAGAAGTCGTGAGGGTCTGAAGGGCTCTTGTTTTTCTCCATGCTGACTGGGCTCTCGTTTTGAACGGCGCGCCAAATGTTTTTTTCCGAAGTCTTGAGTCCGAGCCGCATGACTAGAAAGATAGAGCGTTCAGAGCGAACATGCCATTTGTTGGGTCAAACAAAGCCAGCCGCCCAGATGGCTTTTTGCTCCCCTTTATGTTGCCACATCCTACTGGTAGAAAGTCTATGTTTCGGATGCGATCGCAGTAACCCCGCAGATACCTCGTTCAGAGCGAACACTCCATCTGTTGGGTTCAGCCGGCCCAACCCTCAAAGTCAGTAGAACCAGCAGGAGCTCTTCAGGCCCTCACGACCACAAAGCGCTGCCGGACTGTTCAAGACCTTGCCCTCCTTCTCGTCGTCCGCGCCGCGCTGGGCAGCTACCTCCATCACTTTGCGACGCTTCTGCAGGCATTGAGCTCATAGTTCAAGTCGGCCAGGCAGCGCAAGGCTGCCTCGCTCTCAAAAAGCGACGCAGAGAATGAGAAACGAAAAGAATGCCGCCCAGGCAGCCAAAGCCAAAGGACTGGCCAGGACTACATGACACCGCGTGAGCACCGCGCCCACCCTGAAAATGTGAGGCGAAATTGCAGGACTTGCGACGAACTACTGCGAAAGCATTTGCCAGTGATGTTTTCACTGATCCAAACCAAAAGTCATGGGATCGAAGAGCTCACTGCGACCATTAGTTTTCACAGGGGGGGGCAGCGAACGGGGCGCGCAAGCGCAAGTCATTGGCGCCCCCACGCCACTTTGGGCCAGCGCATGGCCAATGCTTTTTGTTTGCAAAAGTGGCTGGCCTTGTGACCAGCCCAGCCTCACCCTGGGTGGCAGGAGCGAGTCCTGATCAGTGCCAAGACAACGGGCTGCGGGCCCGGCGCCTCACCTGTCCTTTCGTGGTGTCGCTTCGGCTGCATGGGCTGCATTCTCTTCGGTTCTTACGCTTTCTGATGTTACAGTTTTTTCTTTCAGGGCGCCGGGCCCGGCGCTCACATGGTGTCATTTACTCTTGGCCTGTCCTTTTGGCTTGGACTGCTTGGGCTGCATTCTCTTGGCTTGTATGCTTCCTGATGTCCTTTCAAGGTGCCGGCCCAGGCACTTTACGTATCCAAGCAAGGTGCCGGGCCCGGCGCTCGTGTGGTGGCATTGCATTCAGTCTTGGCCGGCCCTTTTGTCTTGTGAACGATTCACGCAGAGATTTCTTCACGCGCAAGAGAAACTGCAAAAGGCACGAGTTGACCTCGACACGCATGATCCACGCAGAGGGTTCGTCCGTCGGGCACAAGATGCAGCTGCAAACGCCACGAGTTTTTAGACCTCGACATGCAGGATCCATGCAGAGGGCTCACCGTGCTCAAGGTAAAGCTGCAACAGCCACGAGTTGCTTGACCTCGTGCAACCCGCGCAGAGGATTGGTTTCGATAGCTCTTGTCCGGTCCCACCCCCTGCCAATGAAAGAAGACAGAAGACCCGAGAAGTGACAGTGACAAAGCGGCAATGCGAAGTTGGACAGTGTGCACGAGGCACGTGTTTTTGAGGCAATGTTACTCTGGCAGGTGTTACTGCGTCGGTGACAGAGTGGCAATTTGAAGTTGAACAGTGCACAGTGGGCACGTGCTACTGAGGCAGTGTTACTCCGGCGGTGTACGGTTGACAGGTGTTACTGACGCAGTGACAGAGTGGCAGTGTATTCTTGCAGTGTCAAGTTCTCGGGCGCTATTCTTCCCCTGTCAAGTCTTCGGGTGTTATGCTTGCAGTGTCAAGTCTTCGGGTGTTATTCTTGCAGTGTCGAGTTCTCGGGTGTTACTCTTGCAGTGTCAAATTCTCGGGTGTTACTCTTGCAGTGTTAAGTCCTTGGGTGTTATTCTGGCAGTGTCAAGTTCTAGGGTGTTATTCTTGCAGTGTCAAGTTGTGGTGTGTTCTGTGTTATGGTTGCAGTGTCAAGTTTGCGGAGTTTTCTTTTTTGAAGTGTCAAGTTCTCCGATCTTCATTACTTTTGTGCAGTGTCAGGTTCGCGGGTGTTATTCTTGCAGTGTCAAATTCTCGGCTGTTTTTAGAAGGAGGACCCTTCGCAGTGCTTCTAGGAAAAACAAGTACCACTTCGAACACTCCCACCCAGCAAAGTGCATGGCCCATGGCCCCTCCCCGGCCTCTCCCGCCGCCTGTTCTGAGCAGCCCCAGACCAGCCCATGGCCTTTCCGGGATTCTCGACCCTCGCCCGCCGCCTTTGCTGAGCACCTCTCGCCTGCCCAGCCTTTTCGGGACTCTCTTCTGCCCAGGCTAGCGCAGCTTAGCCCACGGGATGCTTCGGCCCTTGCCCACCGCATATTGCTGGGCACCCTTTTCAGCCCCAGCCTGGCGCAGCGTAGCCCATGGTCCGGCGCACTTGCTGAACACCTCCCTCCCGCCCTAGCATGCCCCAGCCCGGCACAGCTTGGCTCATGGCCCTTCCGGGATATTTGGTGAAATGTCTAATCGAAGGGCTCTTCATGTCATGAACCTTTTGACTAGACATTGCACACAGCGCGGCACTGCTCACACTAGAGTCCTAAGTTGCATCTCACCACTCGTCATTTGGCTAGCTTATGTAGAGGCTCGTGCTTGCGTGTCTTCCACGGCTGCCTCGATCAAGGTGCTTTGCAAGTACTTCGAGCAGGGTCGCTGCAAGTGGGGCAAATTCTGCGCCTTTGCCCACGGGTCGAGAGAGCTGGTGAGAATTGAGGCGCTGTGTGCTTGGCACGGTCACGATCGGTCACGGGTTCGGCCCTTTTTCCGAATCCCCTTGCAAACTCGTAAAATGAGTAAAGGCGGGTTACTATTTCCAGTAATCATGTTTTGCCAAAGCCCCTTTCCTTGACAGGTCTTTGTTTGGCTTTACGTTCATTGCAGCCAAAGAAGGCAGGTTGCTTGGACTTGCACGCATTGAGTTAGTTTACTTGTGCACTGATTTGAAAACTGCACCGCGATTTCTAGGTTTGCTCTCCCGACTTCGCAGGGCAGCGTTTTCAGGCCTGTGCTCAGACAGTTTGCGCAAGGACAGCCGCACTACGTAGCCAAGACAAGGCGAAGCGCGAAACCACTCAAAGGGTGGCCGCGGTACAACAACCCACGGCCGCTGTGGAAGCGCAGGTGTTCGCACGCCCGTTGTCCTAGCAAAGAGCATGCCCATATTTTTTGGACGTGACTGGCAGTGGTAAAGTCACCACATTGCGTGGCAGTGGCAGGAAACGCGCCGTCGTGATTCCCACTTGAGCAACGTTGTTTTCTGAAATGATGGGCCCACAGCTAGGGAGGAACTCACATCATGACCGCGAAGGCAAACACCACGTTTTGTTCAGGCCCGCGAAGCCTGCGAAGGCACCCAACGAAGGCGCCAAGAAAAAAACCGCGAAGGCAGATTCGCCAAGGCAACATAACAGTGGTCATCTAAGACTTTCTCATCATAACTTTTCCAGTGCCCAGTGCCCAGTGCCCAGCTAACTTTTCGAGCAGCCCCAGCACCCCTATTGTGTTTGGATAAGTGGTGTTCTCCTAACTGCCAGCCACCCCGGCGAAGGCCCGCGAAGGCTCTCGCGAAGGCAAAGGTGATGTTTCTGCATAAGTGTAGTCGGCGAATGAGTAAGGGCGTGGTACTGAAAAGTTGCACTTCTCGAGCTGGAGCTGCCAGAATGTACTTCGCGCGCTACACTTGTACTGAAAAGTTGCGACTTTCGATCCCGACGCAGCAGCTGCTTGATACGCGAGCAAGCAATAGGCCCGCTCCAAAGGCTTGAGTTCATCGACCGAAAAGTTTGCGATTGCGCGAGTTCAGTAAGTCCGTCGCGAAGGCGCTCGCGTAGGCGACGGTAGCCTGGCGAAAGCGCGCGTAGGCGCCCTCTGCAGCGATCAGCCCCCCGCGAAGGCTTTTGCGCAGGCTCCCTTCCAGTGTATTAAACCCTAAGCAGCAAACAAACACAACTCACTTGGGAATGCCCCATACGCGGGAACGCAGCAATCTGCAAGGAGCTAAAAGAAAGCAAGCGCAAACCAGTCGTAGTGAGAGGACAAATGGGAACCCAAGTGCGCGCGGTACAACGCCAGTGATAAGGTAATGTGGCCCAGTAGGGTCAATGTGAGGGGTCAGCCCAGAGGCTGGCGTTGCGATGTGTACAGTGTATATGTGAGAGGTTCTTTAGCTTACATCCGAGCATGGAGACTCTCGCCAGCGACATCCATGAAGTCTGTTCGCAATTTTCTTGCACGGCTGCCTCGAGGATGGCGTCAAGACCTTGCTTGGCAAGTACTTCGATCAGGGTAACTCCATCTTGGGCAGCTGCATTTCTGCCTGCGAGAGCAAGACACTGGTGAGCCCGGCTTCGGAGGTGGAGAAAGCCGACCGTTCATGGGTTTGGTTTTGCCTGTTCCTCAAGCCTTTTGATGGCGTGCATTCGCTTACAACCACAACAGCCACAACAACCACAACAACAACAACAGCAACAGCAACAGCAACAACAACAGCCACAATAACACAGAAGCAACAAACAAAAGACAAAACAACTCAACAACAACAACAACAACAACAACAACAACAACAACAACAACAACAACAACAACAACAACAACAACAACAACAACAACAACAACAACAACAACAACAACAACAACAACAACAACAACAACAACAACAACAACAACAACAACAACAACAACAACAACAACAACAACAACAACAACAACAACAACAACAACAACAACAACAACAACAACAACAACAACAACAACAACAACAACAACAACAACAACAACAACAACAACAACAACAACAACAACAACCAACAACAACAACAACAACAACAACAACAACAACAACAACAACAACAACAACAACAACAACAACAACAACAACAACAACAACAACAACAACAACAACAACAACAACAACAACAACAACAACAACAACAACAACAACAACAACAACAACAACAACAACAACAACAACAACAACAACAACAACAACAACAACAACAACAACAACAACAACAACAACAACAACAACAACAACAACAACAACAACAACAACAACAACAACAACAACAACAACAACAACAACAACAACAACAACAACAACAACAACAACAACAACAACAACAACAACAACAACAACAACAACAACAACAACAACAACAACAACAACAACAACAACAACAACAACAACAACAACAACAACAACAACAACAACAACAACAACAACAACAACAACAACAACAACAACAACAACAACAACAACAACAACAACAACAACAACAACAACAACAACAACAAAAACACTACAACAACAACAACAACAACAACAACAACAACAACAACAACAACAACAACAACAACAACAACAACAACAACAACAACAACAACAACAACAACAACAACAACAACAACAACAACAACAACAACAACAACAACAACAACAACAACAACAACAACAACAACAACAACAACAACAACAACAACAACCAACAACAACAACAACAACAACAACAACAACAACAACAACAACAACAACAACAACAACAACAACAACAACAACAGCAGCAGCAACAACAACAACAACAACCCTCTCAAGGGTTGGCTTCCTTTTGGTTTTTCTTTTACAAATCCTACAGCGGTCCCAAATGTTCACATAGCCATGTATCGGAGCACGCCCCTTGAACAGGGCCACTTCCCAAAAATGGTTCACGGGCTCGGCATGCAGCACTCCCGGCCCTGACAATGCCAATAGCCACAGAATGGCGTGCCAGTATCTCTCAAAGTCAGCCACCACAAGGAAACCAGGACTAAACGTTGACCACAAATGACTTTGGTAAGCTGCAAGCCATGCCAACATAGCAGGCCCTCAGGGATGGCTCTCGAAGTGAAACTAGTCACTTGGAAGGTCATCCGCTACCGTGCCAGTAGACAAAAAACAATTGATTGTTTGTTTCACCTGCGGAACAAACAAACATGGGCACAAGATTGAACAACTGCTTGAATGGACTTGGAGAAGCTCATAATTGGATTTCGTATGAAGCAACTGCTTCAGCATCAAAAAACAAAACAAACCTACTGGGAGTGGGCCACTTCCGACAAACACGATTGCGCTTGGGAGTCAGAAGTCTTCACCTATTGAGGCGCTCATGCAAGCAGACTGGCTTCCACCCAGCGGATGCCTGAAGAATCAAGACAAGGCTTGTCTAGCATCATTGTTCTGACCCCGGGAAATCGTTTGTGTACTAAGCGTGTGGTGTGGTGAGCGTGGCGCATTTGGAGCCCACGGGGCCCTTGACTGTGTGGCCTTTCTGGACCAAACTCATTCCGCGAATCCAGAAAAACACCTTGCCTGACGCCCAGCAAAACCACTTTAATTGAGCACCAGCCCTTCCAAAGCCTCCTGTTTGTTCCAAACGCGCAGCATTCACGCTGAAGTCATGGCTCATTTCCTGTTTGATTTGGCCGCTTCCGTTTGGAAACCAAAACCAAGAGGCTGCTTTCAGCCCAAAGATGTCGGGTCTCAATCAAGCAGGTTGGCGCAGCTTGAAATACCAGTGAACATAAAAGGCGCCATCAAGCTTACAACGAGATCTATACAGCATGTGTAAAGCACTGGAGAGTTGAACAAAGTTAAAGATAACACCATTATTGCTGCTTTAAAAGGAGATCAGTCACGCCCACCGAAGCGGTCTCGATTTACAACGCTACCTGGCAGATCAAGCCTGAGCAGCAGAAGCCCAAGCCAACGACATCGGAAGAGCTTCAGAAGCAGCCACACGACCCCTCCTACAAGACCCAGCTTTGCGAGTACTTCCCGAGCGGCCCCCTGTCGGAAATCCAACAGTTGCTTGTTGAGGGGCAGGGGACAGGGATGACTCAGCCAGGTCCATGCGAGGCTGCAACTTCAGTGGGCAGAACGAGCAAGCATGTTATGCAGTGTATAATTTCTGTCAGCCCTATAACCACCCTTATGTTTTCTTTGCAGGCGACATCCTGATTTGAGGAACGTTCAATCAAGGTGGAACTCCACTTTCTCCACCTTGTCATTTCTCAAGATGCCGCACTTTTGAAGTTTTGGGCTGTGGAGCCAACAAGTTTTGACCTTCCTTTTCAGGACCTGTTTGTGTCAGTGAGTCAGCACTGTTGAGATGCTGGCTCAGTGGTGTCAGAGATTCCTACCGCAGAGTTGGACGTTTGCCTTTGAAATGTCCATGGTGATCCACCCGTGATTGTAGACGAAGAGCTCATCGATTGGACCGATCTCCATGTTGATTTCCGGAATTGTTTCATCATGGTAGCAGCATGAGCTCTCCTCTGAAAAGCTACGGCCAAAAATTCGGAAGTGTGAATACTGTGGACTTCATCCACACCAGACGTTCCGCCTAAAGACGGCTTGGTTCAAAGCAGGCTTCAAGGAATTGGCTTCCTTGGCTGTTTTCCGTAGGTGGCAGGCACATATTTTGACAGCCGAAGTTTGGCTTCGCCTCGCTTTAGTTGCAGTGGGCAGGAAGCCTGAGCCAACGGCCTGGGAACGATCAACCAATGTCCCAGGTTTTGGGGGCTGACTTGCATGTGCCTCATTGGATGACCGGGCATATGATTTTTACGATTGGGAGACTTCCTTGTAGTTTTGAGTCGGCAGAGTCTTAAGACGAAAGGAAATGCTATGGTGATTTCGGTGAACGTTCTTGCAGTTTTGTTGTTTCCCTGATTGCCTGTAAACTCCGGAAGCAAGAGGTAGATCTAGGTGGTGCTTGTGCGGGCTCGATGACTGCTGCACGCATAGAAGCCTTGATCTCCTTTGGACAAGTGCCACTGCTGCTGAGCATTTCGCTGACTGACAGTGTTATTTGGTCCAGTAGCCTATAGATGGTTCCTCGCTACGAACAAACACCACCGACAACATGCATATTTTCATGGCTTACTCTTGCGCAGCATTGATGCATCAGGTCCAGGATCAGCACCTGTATTTGTGTCCTGCATCATGGAGCAAAACGGGAACGCCTTGCAACATATGAATTTTGCTTCCATCGACATTGAAGCAAGCTCCCCCCGACTTGGTGCGCAAAACATATCAAGCAATTCGCCCACTGAGATCCGCAGGCCCAGGAAGTGTGTGTTTTTGCCTGTCAAGGCGACCACATTTTTGGGGTCAAGGGGCCTTGCTGTGTAAAGTCATCCATTTGGCAGCATCCTGCATGATATGGATTCCCATTCCAGCTAGATGTCCCTACCTGCCGCAATCGGTTTGGCGGTGTGGCAGGCCGCTGCGTTAAGGGCGAGGACTGTACCTATGCTCATGGGGAGGAGGACCTGAGAACGTTCCCCCAGGCGCCTCGTGGCCGTTTGGCCGTCCGGAATTTTGCAATAGCTGAACACTTGCATCACACTTGCATCGCCGGGCAGTCTTCGTCTCCCAAGAAGTCGGGTTCATTATCCATACTCTCGTTCTGTCTTCTTTCTTTGGGTATGTCATTCAAGCGCTGGACCCTTCGAGAGTAAGGAGGCAGCCCCTCAAATGTTCATGGGTATCGCTTGTTTTATTGGAAGCATGGCGCCGATTCCCAGGGAAAATGCTCCAAGTATCGCAGGAAAAAGCAGTTTGAGAAGGGTCTGGAGATGACAATGGCTCTTGGCTTTCTGCTTGCTTGTTTTACCCGAGATGTCCATTCGGCACCTGCACTCAGGCTTCAATCCACACTACACCCTGATTTGGGTAACTAGGCGCTCCGTGGGAGCATGTTTGGCAGGTACAAGTCACCTGTTGTCTTGCTTGGCAGGAATCCTTGCGGATGCAGAAGAGAGCGCCGGACGACAGATGGAGTCACAATTCTCAGAAGCCCTTCCCTGCCTGGGTGAAATTGCGAGATTTCCTGGACTCCGAACGCGAGGCTTTGCGGTGCGAGGCTCCGACTGCATGGCAGCCGGCAAACCATGGGGCCTTTGAGGCTGCATGGCTTGGAATTGATCCGGAAGTTCACCGCATTTTGATCAATGTAAAGGGATGCGATCATAGGAGTTGCAAATTAAAGATGTGATTGATACTTACAAATGATTTAGCCTTCTCCGAAGATGTGTGTCATGGTTGCTAAGAGTGCCCATAGGACCAACACTAGCACAGTACAAGATGGTTTTCCCATCTCGATGTAGACGTGGAAGGTTTTCCTTGAAGCTTCCAAAGGCGGTGGCAACGGTGCCTGTTGCTGATGTGCGCG